ATACTCTTTTTTTTAAATTTACAAGTAATTAAATAGTTATTTTCTGTGTCAGAATTAAAAAAGACTGGTAGAAAGCTGTATTTGGGGAGGTTTCCCTAAGGTTTTATTAAGTGGTTTTTACGCTGATTTATCTCCAAGTCCTATTGGGAAAAATTCCAGAATTTCTTGCAAAACAGAAGAGGACGTATCAAATTCTCCCTTGGAAAGAAAATCTCTAAGCAAAGAGCTAATAATATATTCCCAAGTTCAAGAGTAGCTCAGGAAAAGTCAAATTAGGCATAACCACTTCTCTGGGTTACAACTTCAGTTAATTTGCAGCGGGTATCTACAGAATAATCACTGGGGTTTGACTTTTCCTTCCCCCTGCAGGGACTGTGAAAATGCTGCCTCTGTGCTGGCACTGGAGGCATTGCTTCCAACAGAAAGGAGATTTCCTGATGCTGCCAAGTGCCTAGAATGAGTTTGAGCTTTCCAAAACTGCCACATTTCAGAGGATGTTGAGCTGTGGATCCTCAGACCCAGGTGGGGAAGGTGAGGGGCTGGCCCTGGTGTGAGCTGGGGCAGCTCTGGGGCCCTGGATCCCAAACCAGGCACACTGGATTGGTTTTCCCTTCATGGATTTGTTTTCCCTTTGTTTCACAGCTCTGTTTGCCCACCTGGCCACACACTCTTATTTCTGGCCATTGGGAAACTGAAGGGGAGAGGATGTGCTGGTGTGACCCTGAGCCTGAGCAGCAGGGACAAGCACAGGGCAGGTGTCCAAGGGTGGGAGCTCAAAAACATCCCCATGCTGGACAGCTTTGCTCAGAAACACAATTCTGATCCAATTATAGGATAATTTAACCTGAAAGGGACTTTTTGAAGGTCTCTAGTCCTCAAGGTGCTCAAGGAAGAGCTGACTCCCAGGTTAGATGGGGGTCTGGGAGCAGATCCCAGCTGTGTTCTGAGCTTCTGCAAGGATGGACATCCCACAGTCTCTGTCTGACCACCAGCACTGAGATTTATCTGGTTTTTTTCCTACTTCATACACTATTTCCTTACATCTGTCACAATTTCTTCTTGTTTTGCTGCCCAGCTTTTGGAATTCTCCTGTTTGGAATTCTCCTTTTTGGAATTCTCCTTTTTGGAATTCTCCTGTTTCCTCTGGAAGTACCAGCAGGTAGATGTAGGCAGCAAATGCATCCCTGTTCAGAGCTTTTTCTCTGAGCTGAACCAAACCCAACATTTATTGTGCTTCCTCCCACATCACCCTGGTCATCTCCATTGGACTTGCGGCATTCTCACACACTGCTTAAAAATAGAACTGCACAAAATAGGGATGTTTCCTAGTGCTGCTGTAAAAAAGGAGAAAGATGAGTTCCAACTGCCCAAAATATAGAAGTCTCTTAATATAAAAATATGAGTTTATTGAATCACTAAAAGGAAAGTGGCCCTTTGCAAGTTTGCCATGAAAATCTGTATTTTAAAGCAACCTTCTGTTCCAAAAAAAGGGAAAATTAAATTGGCAATGAATTAAAAAAAATAATAAAGATGCAAATAGCAAGAAATGCAGTGTTTAGAATGAAGAATGAAGCCTTAATTCTGCCTTCCTGAACATAAATTGTGTATTCTATTATATAATTTTAAATTATTTGCCATTCTGAAAAGGGCTTCATGGAGCTATAAAAATTTATGTCATCTGACTATCTGGCTCAGATAGTTGTGAACTATCCGCAACTGTTTTCCTGTCAAAAATTGCAGTGCTTACAGTTCAGTTTAGTTGACTTCAGATTTATTTTCTTCCCTGATGTAGGTCTACCATCGAAGTCAAGGCTGAAGGAAAATTTTTTTTATTTAAAAATGTTTGTTCTTTATCAGCTTGTTTGCTTTCATCTGGTAATTGGGGAGATGTGAATGTGACTTGGAGAACTGGAGACTCACAATATTTTGGGAGGGGAAAATCTCTCTTGCATATGGCCTTTGTACTTGTGATGCCATTGGATGTTTTGGGGTTTTTTTGGGGTGGGAATTGGTGAAAGCATCACTTTTGATCATTAAGTCCTTCTGGGGTATTTTTTACAGCAAGACTCACCGTGAATTAATGTATTACCTCAGCCTGCCTGAAACTCAGGTTGGTGTTTTGGGCTGACAATCCTTGATTTCTCACCCAATTTCAGATGCACGTTGGTAACATCCAGAGGTTCCCCCAGTGACCCAGGAGGGCTCAGGAGCTCTGCAGAGGGTCAGGGAAAGGCAGGGTCCTGCCTGGGGCTGGGGAGCAGCTCCAGCCTCAGCAGGCGGCTGCCTCTCCCCAGGAACGTGTGCTCTGGGCTTTGAAGGGTAAAACAGCTAAAGATGAATGCATTTAATTCAAAGGAAAAAATAATTGTGTTTATTCCAAGAGAAGTTTGGGTTTTTTTCCTTTTAGCAAGTGTAATGGTGGTAAATAGTCCCAAAGGCATGTGAGACCCCCAGTGCCCCACCAGTACAGGCTTATTAACCATTGCAGCTTCTGTTTCACTCCAACTTAACCGTCTGGAATATCCAAAACCTCCAGCATATCAACCTCTGCTTTAAATAATTCATGTGTTTCTTGATAGACAAAAGTGGTTTTCCTTCAGTTTATTTCAGTAATTTTATTTTTCCTTCAGTATATTTTACCTTCAGTTGATTTTAAACTGGACTTAAAGAGTGAAAGGAAAGAATGTGCCAAAAGAAATCATTGTTTTACTTTATCAAAAAGCAAGAGTGGCATAGAAAACAATTTGGCTTTGCTGAATGTTTAAATTATAATTCTAAGGACTGTCAGTAGTAGATTGAACTGGAATTGATGATTGACCACAAAATTCAGTATGTGTAGTTTGATGTTAGCTATTGGAAAAAAAATCTGTGATAGGCCCATGTTTCAATTTAAAATTATGGAGATGATTCTTAAATAAATGCAGAATCCATGAATAAATTGTGAATTATTTTTCTGGTACAGTGGCGTGCTTAGAAGACTGTAGCTGAAGGAATTAGTCACAAAGTTTTACCTTGAGGAGACTGAGGGATGCATTGAAAAGGAAAACTGATGACTTCAAGCCAGGATCTGTGTAAAATAATAACAAGAGTATTAGCAAAGCAGTAGAACAGTTAATTCTGAAGGTGGAGCCCAGGCTTGAGCATTCCTGTAATCAAATTCCCACATGATTTTTCAAACTGAGTATGTAAAATGCAAGAGAGAATTACTCTACTCACCATTTCAGTATGCAGACATGAACAGTGATAAAAATAGGCACTTTTAATTCAGAAGCCTTCTCTTGGAGTTCTTTGTGGTGTGGTTTTGTTTGGGGGTTGTTGGTTTGTTTTCATGATCCAGATTTAAGTCATGTCCTGTCTGTGATCCTTTGGCTGCCCAGTGTCTCCTTCAATGTGGAAAGATGATCTGGAAAAATTGTCATCAGAGCTTTGAATTAAAAGCAGTGTTTTGGAAAATAAAAAATAAACTTTCTAGAGACTTTTTTTTGTTTGTTTTTGAGACCAACTAAGTTGGAAAGAATAAATGGTCCAGTGACCACTTGTTCATTCATCTGCATGTGCAGCTGCAAAATTATTTTCTGTGCTGTGCAAAACTCCTTCCTAAATATGAGGTTTAGAGACCCTCTGGGAGTAATTAACTACAATGCAGAAACAAATCTGGGTTCATTGTATGAACTGCTCATTTAAGAAATATTTTTGTGCACAAAGCCCATTAACAAAGTTCCAAAACCTTCATGAATGTTAAACACTTTATTATAGGATTCTGAGCACTTCCTGTTTAAATGAAATCTAGGGTAATCTCATTAACTACATGTAGCTTTTGATACCTGGATTGCTGTGTCAGATGTGTGCCACAGTGCATTCAACAGCTAAAATCTGGCTTTTATTTTGTTATTTATTTAACAGTGATAGAACAGCTCTTTTCCTGGGCCCTGCACAAAAAGTTGAGGATGTGTGTCACAGATATCTTTTATGAAAAATCCTTTCCTTAGGACTTTTCCTCCTGAGAAGCTGGGAGGCCTCAGGAACAAAATGTAAACAATGATTATCTGCTGCTGTGGAATGCAACAGGTGCATCTGGGATTGGTCTCATGTGGTTGTTTCTAATTAATGGCCAATCACAGTCAGCTGGCTCACACTCTGTGTCCACGACACAAGATTTTGTTATCATTCTTCTCTATTCTTGGCTAGCCTTCTGATGAAACCTTTTCTCTATTCTTTTAGTATAGTTTTAATGTAAAGGATCATACAATGTTGCCTAATAAAATTGCATCTTATCCACCATTCATTTCCCAATAGAAATTGAACTATATAACAGTATATGTTATATAGCAGTATATAACATATACTGCTATATAACATATAGATATGTTATATATCTATAACACTGATAATTTATATATATAATAAAATATAACATTGCCTAGTAAAATTGCATCTTATCCACCATTCATTTCCCAATAGAAATTGAACTATATAACAGTATACTGTTATATACAGTATACTATATAACAGTATTTGTTATAGGAGAGTTAATCATTAAGATCTGAGGGTTTTTACAACACCTTCATTTTACCTCAGAATATGTAAAATATATCCAAACCCTTCCATTTAAGGTGATAGATTACCCCATGCTTGGCTGCACTATCTGGATTGGCTGGAATTTTGTGCAATTGCTGTTTTACACAGCAGCAGAGCATCTGTGAAGTGGATATCAATTGAAACATATTTTGCTCTTCAGACTTGCTTTTGCAGGTTTCACAAAACATTTAATTAGTGATAATCAGCTTTTAACCAGCCAGAGCACACTGATGTGATTCCCTGCCTCTCTCCCCCATGATGGTAGGCATAGTCTGTACCCTTCAGATAAATTGCTGGCAGTCTGGAGAATGTCCCAGCCAGCAGCAAGGGGAAGAATAAGGATGTCGGTTGCATGGGGAATAAAGAAAGTGTTGTGTTTACTGTGGTTTCAGTGAAGAATATCCTTTTCCTTTACTTTTCAGAATGGTGAACTTGGGAACCAGCTGGAGATTGCAAAGTCTCCTTTCCCTTGAGGCTGGTGGACAATGGTCATCCTCTACCACACCCAAGGAAAGCAGAGGAGCTCCACGCTAACTTCTGTAAGCTCTGCTTCACTATGGAAGATCAAATGATTTTCTGGCTCAGGTTTTGTGATCTGCCTTGGACCTGGAGTTTGGAAAAGGGATCGTCTCTGAGGCACGGTTAAGAGACAGAGCAACCAGCCCCAGACAATGAGCACTTTAAGTAGCACTGGAATATTGCTCAGCTTAACAACAGTGTCTGTTACACTGGATTTCAGTTTGCATGGTGGTCTGATGGCTTGGTCCTTGAGCAGCAATTTGACTCTGAACCAGAGTTTGCCTACATCTGATCCTCTCAACACCTCTGAGAAGGGCGAAGTCTCTCGGATGTCCGTGAGGGAGAAGAATTGGCCGGCCCTCCTGATCTTGGTTGTCATCCTGCTGACCATTGGGGGGAACATATTGGTAATTATGGCTGTGTCCTTGGAGAAGAAGTTGCAGAATGCCACAAACTTCTTCCTGATGTCTCTGGCAGTGGCAGACATGCTGGTGGGTATCCTGGTCATGCCCGTGTCGCTCATTGCAGTCCTGTACGGTAAGTGCCTTCCCTCCTTGTTTGAATTTTTGCTTTTGCAGGGAGACCCCCGAGGCTGCAGCAGCCTGATTGTCCCTGTGCTGGTGGCCTGGGGAGTGTCAGTGTGTCCTTGGTCGTGGCTCTGTGCTGAGGTTCATTCTCTGGGGTTCAGTGCCAGGAGTGACCTGTGAATAATGTCACACTGAGGGGTTCTTACTGCTGGGGCCACACGAGAGTCTGAGACAGAGAGCCAGCTTTTCACCTTGGGTTGGGCTGTCCCTAAACCGAGCTAGGACACAAAAGCTCACAGAAAAGTAATTAACTTTTAGTTATTGTAAAAGTAATGAAATTTTAGTTCATTGTTCATGAGCTACCCAGCTCTAAGCCGGGTCAGGATCTGTCCTTGAGCTGTCACTGCTGGGATCAGCGGGATTTGAGTAAAATCATGGATCAGAAAGGAGCCTTGCATGAGTAGATTTGGCATTCAGATAAAGCCTTCACTCCTGGCATTTGTAGCTCAGCTTGCCTTGTGCCTTTCAGGGGTCATTGTGCCTCTCCGTGCCTCAGTTTCCCTGTCTCTAACCTGAGAGAATGCTCTGTTCTAAAGCAGAGGCCTGCCTGTAGAGTGTAAACATTTATTTCTCCCCATGTCAGGGTCAGAGTGCTTGCAATGGAGTGGGGCATCACTCCTGCACTCAGGTGTGGAATCACTGTTAGCACTTCAAAGAAGTAAAATATCAAACACATCTGACTTTCATCTGGCTGAGACTCCAGATCCCTTTGTTCAGGGTGGTGCTAGGAGTCCCCATCCCTGGCTATTTCAAAGGAGCATTTTGTTCTCCTCTGTATCTCTGATCATCATGTTTGTATACTCTTGTATCAATTTTATAATCTGTGAATTTCATAGATAAAACTTTAAATTGTTTTCAGATTTTCTTAGAAAGGTATTTTAATGTTGATATTTCTTGGAAACAAATAATGCTGTTTACTTACAAATTTGATTAGAAATTGGTTTACTGTCCTATAAAGTAAAATGTAGGGATATTTATCTGACTTCTTCACTTACTTAAATGAGCAAGTCTGGCAGAGATTAATTTCTAAAAGACATTGATCAAGCATACATCATTCCAAAGCTTATATAGCTTGTCTACGGTGAGTTAAATCAATATGTGATTTAAGTACAGGCCTAGCTATGGAGACCTTATGCACAAAGATCTTTTATTTTGAACTGTCAGAATAGTTCCATCTCTAAATCTTGTGTGTATTATAACATGTGTATTTTATTTTTAGCATTTTACTCCAGCTCCCTGGAGCTTGAAAGGGAGAATATAAATACTGAGTTATGTGACAGACCTGCACTTGCATAAATTCTGTGTTAGCCAGTGACTCTAAAAAGGTGGATTTATGGAAGTGGTCTTCCTACATCCATACTTTCAAGGTCTTTGGAAACTAATAGAAATGGATTTTCTGTTCTGCCTAGAAAATGATTACTTAAGGTAGTTTAAAGGTGTAAAGCATGCCACCCTTTTAGCAGCAAGGAAATATCACTGATTTCAAGAGGCATTGTAATGATCCTCCTCTTTTGCCAGAGAACCAGCACTGGCTGTTGATAGCCCAAACATTTCTCCACAGACAAACAGTACTACATAGATTTTTTGGCAAAAATCGTAATTTCATGGAAGACTTGTGGAAATACTTTGAGGAATGAGGAGGCTGCTGGGGCAGTGCTGGGTGCTAGACCAAAGCTTGTTGCCTCCAGGCTTTGTGAGGAGAGGAGGAGGAGGAGGAAAAGTTCAATTTGGGGAAAAATGACCCTCAGAGGGAACTTGTGGATTGATCTCAGTAGGACCCCAGTGAAATAATTTTTAAATACTATTTAAGCTACAAATAGTGGAAGTAAGGAGGGGGGAAATGTTCTTACATCAGCAGAATTCTTGTGAGAATACAGGGGTGCATGGCCATGGACTGAGCAGGGAGAGGGTTACTGCTTGGAAACATCACTGTGAACGTTCAGTCACTTTTACTCTGCAACTTTTATCTTTTACATTCCAAAAAATCCACATAATTGTACACTGGGCTGTTTCAAAGGCTGCCATATGCTGTACTGAGAAGTGCATGCAGCACATCTCTTCCAGATTTTGTAGAAGTCACTTTTAATTTATGTAATCAGAAAGAAACCTTAAAAAATACATATAACAAACAGAAGAGTGAAGAAATTGCTTTCAAGTTTCCACATCAGCTCTCTCAGCCCCAAAGATAAATTCTAGTTGACAGAGTAACTAATTTCAGAGTAGGCTCATTTCCTTACTTTTGGCTAATAAGGTAAATGAAGTAGATTTCACTTCAAGCATAACCAGAAAATTGAATAGACACCCTCCACAAATACTTCGGGTTTTTGGTGGTTTTCTTAATTAAAAGAAGGGAAAATCAAGTTTCAAATTAATTCAAGAGTCTTATTATAAAGGAAAGGACAGCAGGATGCAGCATGATGGATTTTTCAGCAATTAATCAGGGCTTGGATATATTTATCAATTAGTCTTAAGTGTCTTACAGTAATCGATGAGTTGCATTTGACAGCTGAGAACATTTTCCCTGGCATGCAGTTCCTAAAGAAGTGAGTGAATTAGTCTGCTAATTAATAAGCATGTATTGGGGAGAGTAAATGAGAAATGTACACAGTGTTTCATCTCAGTGAAGAAATGCCTGATTAATTAAAAATACTGGTATTTTTATTAAAATATCGATAGGGCATCAGGTATCTCACACTTGATGGAGTTTCAGAGAGCAGGTGGAGGTTGTCTCCTCACCCCTGAGCACTCAGAGACAAGCAGCAGTGGGTTTATGTGGTGTAATGGGTTTGAGAGCAGGAAAGAGAGGGCTGGTGGAGGAATGCAAGGGAATCCCCTCAGCTGATCTGAGTTGCAGAGGATGTTGAGCTCTCTGGTTCTTGCAGAAGTTGCCAGAGTGTGCCCAAGGAGTGGCCAGCAGCCCCTCTGCACTCCCAGGGCCGGCTCTGCTCTGCTCTCCCTCCCTTGGTGCTGCCCAGGGCTCAGGCAGCTGCCAGGGGCTGCTCTTGGATGCAGAATTCACCAGCCCCAGCTGCCAGAGCGCATTTACACCCACAGTGTTGTTATTGTTGATAATTGCCATCATTATGGTGTGTGGCAGAGATGTGCTGAGCACTGGGGCACACTTTGGTGCTGGTTTCCCTGCAGAGGGGGAGCAGGGCAGCTCAGCTCTTTGATGTGACACTCAGGTATCTGGAAATGATCAGGCATTTTAAAGACCAGATCAAGGCATGGGCTTAAATGCATCTTGACTACACCAAGTTCCAGCTGACAGTTGCATTACTTTCAGAATTTATTATTTATTCCTGTTAGTTTTAAATATGTAATGTTTCTGTTTGTGCTAAGTAACCACTACATTTTATTCTTCTGCTAGGGTGTGAGTGAATGGAAACCCCTACACTGCTTGCACTATCTGTGTCATAAATTCAGAGAGGAGATTATTTTTTTTCTCTCCAATGACACCTTGTACCTGGGGTGTGTGCTCTGAAATTTATATCCAACAGGAAGGGTGAGTTTATCTTTTGCTATCAGTAGGATCCTTAGGCTGCTGCACTCTGTGCTCACCCAGCAGCATTTATTCTCTTTCCAAGTCCCTAAGCTTTCTTGTCCCTCAGCTAACCTAAATAATTGAAATCTGAAAATCCTACTATATCATTATTTACCCTCTTTCCAGATTATTAGATTCATAGGAAACTTTAGTTGAGATATTGAGTGTCCTGCTACTGAATTTTCTCCACATGAACTACTGCCTGTTTACCTGATGTGACAAATGGGATTAAGTTGTGGTGTACCTGTGTTGCTGTTGGGAAAGAAAGCTCTGTATGATGTGCCCTGAATCCATAGAACACTTTCTTTTCTGCTACCCAAGGTTTAAAATGTGCTTAGAGTGAGAGGAGGGGGGAATACTAAATGGGAATACTATATGGAAACTCTCCGTACCTCATTGAATATGGGTACCTGGTTGTAAAATACCTTGAGGCAGCTAAATGTTAACTTGCAGGGTTTTGCAGAGCCTCTGAAATTGTGGCACGCTATGATGATTCCCTGCTGGAAACAGCATTAGGAACCTGCACAGCTTTGGCTTGCACTGGGGGAAAACTGATGGTTTCAGGTCAAGTGAGAGTCCAAGGCTGAAGGGCTGAAATCAGCACAAGAGCTCAGCACTGGAGAGGATGATGATATCTGTCAAGAGGAGGGAGTGCTGCTCCACACCCTTTCTCAGCAGTGATTAAATCTATTAAACCTATATTTGCATTGCCCTCTTCAAAAACATTTGACTCAGAGCTTTTAATTGTCGTATTCAGAGCTGGATTTGCTCCACACACATAAATTTCCTCTTAATGTATTTTTTTTATTTTATCTGAGATTATCTATACTTTATGTCTGGCTTTTTTATCTAGTTTACTTAATTTTTTTTTTTGCTCTGTTATACTTTTAATGTTGGACAATAAAGACTGGAAGCCAGATGAGTGAGGAAAGTGTCATTATCTGAGGAGAGCAAAGCCCTTTGAAGGAAAGACCACAGTGCCCTATGGTACTTGAAAGTCATCTTCTCTCTAGTCTTATTAAAGCAGAATTGCTTTCAAAAATTGTCAGAGCAATTTAACTTGTTGTAGCCTTTTGTTATTCTTTCTCATTATTTTGATGTGTGTGTTTTAGTGATGTCTTGTCTGAAAATCTCCTCAAGATTTTTATTTGCTTCTGTTATGAAAGATGAGAAGCAAAATTTGATATTTGCAGAATGACACCAATATGAGATGGATGCAGTCATTTGGATGTGATATACATATATTTTTTTTTGTCCTAACTGATAAAATTTCACTTATTCATCCATGGAGCAACCCCATCCCCAGGACTTTTTTGACAGCCAGGCTGTGTGTATGGCTCTAGTGCAGCATTCTCCATTGAGATAAATACTTTATATGATATTAGCAAATTAACATGAATGTTTTC